AGACCCAAGAGAGAGGCTGACACACACACACACACACACACACACAGTCGTTCAGACTACCACCACTAAATGTACACAAGGTCTATCTGAAAGAAAACTTAAGTGTCCCATTTAATCAAGTACACCACCTGACAAGATCTCTATTCTCAATGGCACATTCTTAAAGAGAAGTAATTCATACATTAGAACAAGTACATGAAACTGAATCTGATCGCTTCCCTGAAACTGATGACACATCTGCAGTGAGCTCAGCTTCATCATGCTCTCATGCTACATCACAACGCCACATTCCTGCCACTGGATGAAGTCAGAGCACAGAGATCCAGTATAATGTTGTTAATAATGAGTGTGTATACATATGGGTGTTTATATGAAGGGTTAAAAAGTAGATTGCCTCTCACTGAAGCTGAGTGAGTGTGTGTGTGTGTGTGTGTGTGTGTGTGTGTGTGTGTGTGTGTGTGTGTGTGTGTGTGTGTGTGTGTGTGTGTGAAAGACAGACACCATGAAAAAAGAATCAGACTCACTGATTAAGACATATAACCTTATCATTACATCTCAAATAATGTCTTCCAGTCAACATGACAAATTATCAAGTCACACAACAATTCTTATTATTATGATACCTACAGTATAGGTTTATAGTAATATTTATGTACAGCTTTTTTTTTTTACTATCAACACGGACAGTTTTAAAATAATTTAGTGCCTTAATTTTTGTTGAGTCCAGCACATTATAAATTGGGATATTCTAAACTAAATCAGCATGGCTCATGAATATTAATCAGGTAACATAATGTTTGGCCAGCAGTCATCTTCACTGAGGAAAGTGAGTGCTAGGACTAATGGTGTCTACAAGTCATGAAGTTCATATTTGATGAAAAATATTATATCTGCTAATGAGTTGAGAAGTCATAATTACGGCACCAGGTGCATTAAGTCAGTTCGGTTGGTGCAAAATGGCAATGTAGCTTTTCTACAAAAAAACTGCAAGATTTTTAAACTCTACATCAATTGGCACATTTTTATGTTTCTATTCAATTCATAAAGGACTTCTGCAAAGATTTTTAGAAGTTGCAAAGATTATTGGAGTATGTTATACATATATATACTTCTTTAAAATGTCACATTCGGTGCATTGTTACTTGCTTTATCTTTTACATTTAAATTTGCCAGCCATTTGTGAGTGAAAACTGTTTCTACACCACCATTTTTTCAGTGTATTTACACACTCTAGATCATCTGATCATGATGCCCTACAATCTGTGAATTATCATAATGTGTCAAATGCATCAGATTTAAATAGTCTTCTCATATCCATATGAGATACGCGTGTGTGAAACAAACTGCGGGGATCATGAGCGGACTTTCGTCGTACCTGCCAATCAGTAGGTTAAAACCTAATCATACAGTACGTGCCGTAATGTGCAAATGTTAACCACAACTTATTACTGCCACTCTCACTAATCTTTCACTTCGTTTGCCTTTTGTTCCAGGTCACTGAGATGAATTCAGCTGATGTTTTGATTTGAAATCACGTGCAGCGTAATGGGCATGGATCAAGCGGGCCTGTTTTGCATCATGGCATGGCAGTGGAGAGTCTGGAAGTGATTATGCCACAGGGTACGGAACAATGGCTGGCTGTTCACCTTGATGAGCTGGTTTGGACAGTACGCTGATACAAACAAGCAACGTGGACAGAAAAAGTCTGTTAGGAGGGTCCTGTTTTACAGGTGGTGGACGGGTCTGTGTGCGCGCAAAGAAGTTTGTGTAGCTTGGCGTCTAAAGGAGAACCTTCTGGCATGCCAAGAAAAGCAAACAAAAAGCAGATCGCATGGACTTGAATTTCGCAACATGACACTGTTCTTTGTGGCTTAACAGTGACTGTAGAAATCTGCTCAGAGGATCAGTGAGCATGATTCCCGAGTGGTCCGGTGTTTCCAAGTCAGCATTCCAGACCTCAGCCGCATGCACTGGGAGGTGCGCAACAGCACTAAAGTACACTTTACCGCTCATAAACACTGGAATGACTGCTGCACTACTGGGGGTGGTGACAGAGCAAAGTCATTTTTTAACTCCTACATCTAAATACGCAGCCTGCTGCTTTATAAACACAGTAGCATTGAAACAACACCATGTAAATATTGACAGGCAGAATCCCACACTTTCTGACCAATGAATTGCCATTACTTTTATAGTCACCGGCTATTAGATGATAAAGATGATCTTTTTATAGAGATTTAACTCACAAAGAACAATTTTGTAGCAATTTTCTTGAGCGGCACATTACTTGATAGCCTAAATGTCTTGATAAATAAATGTTCATGACGTTTATACTTTTATACATAACTGATTTTGGTCATTTTCATGACTTTTCCGGGCCTGGAAATCACCATTTTAAAATTCCCTGATATTTCCAAGACTGTGGGAACCCTGAATGTGTAACAGGTCTTGAGTTAGGCCAGATATACAGGAATGAATTGGTTTTATTGTTTAAAGTAGAGCTGTGTGTAAATCATGTGCAAATCAGAAAGTGTGTCGGTAGTTATGATAAGAGTCAGATTATTTCAAAACCAGGGTCAGCTCTCCAGCTGTTTGCAGTAGAGCTGATTAAAATTGTGTAAATCGGGTGCAAATCAGAAACTGTATCAGATGATATGAGCCAAAGTTACAATTAAAGGCAGGGTATGTGATTTTTCAAAAACACTTTAGAAAACTGATTCGGGCCGAATCGCAAAACAAACTTGTAGCCAATCAGCAATAAGGGGCGTGTCTACTCGTGATGTGGAGGAGAGAGCGTTCAGTGCATAGGACGGACATTAGCCGAGCCGAGTGACAGAGAGATAGAGATGGCGAATAAAAAACAAAAGAAGAAAACGTCTGCAGAATGATAAGGCAAGAAGTAGAACCCGTGTAAATATCGGATCAGCTTTCCAGCGCTGGAGAAAACTCAAGGAGCGGAGGCCTGCGATCGGACGCCGAGGTTGCTTTGTTTCTTCTCAATAGGTGAGTAACACCGTGTCTGCGCCGCAACAGCTAAAGTCTGCCTACACAGGGCTCTACGCTTACTTTTCTTTTTAGGAGCACGTTCAAAATTTTAGGAGCACCTTCTAAACAATTATCCAAAATGTTATCAAAAAGTAGCCTTCCCATTAAGAGGTGATATTTGACTCCTCTAACTTTATTAAAAGTATGTCATCTTTTGTCAAAAAAATGTATATTTTATAAGCTTTTTACAATTTTTAATTTAATTTTTAAGTAGAATAAGAAATATAAGTTACCAATCAAATGAAATCAGTATTAACAAAATTAATTTGTAGAGGTGGCACAGAAGAACACAAAAGTGGCCCGGTGTACTTTCAGATATTTAATGAGGCTCAGAAGTGGAATGAGTGCAATTGAATTCATAAATTCATGGTGATATTAATGGTGGTTTTAAATATACAATTTTGAATATAGAAATATTAAATGATTTAAATAACTGAAAAGATACTTTAAAAATTAAACAAACTGCCAGCAGGTGGCAGTAAGTCACTGATTTTTATTACTGAATCATTCATTCAATTGATTAATTCGAACGGCTGATTCATTCAGGAATGAATTAAGTGACTGTCTTTATGAATGGGTAATCATGAATCACTGACTCACTAGATAGTCTACACTTTGCTTATGAAAGGATTCGTGAGATATGTCTGTGATACATTACTCAACGCTGCAAAAACACATAGAAACCATTGAAGCTCCCCTGAGTGCAATCACAAATATGATGATGATCGGGTCAGTCGCACTGGTGCTCCTAAAAATGTTGTCATAGTCGCACGCAGTAGTTTTCAGTCGCAAATGCGACTGAAATGGTCGCACTGTAGAGCCCTGCTACACTGGACGCGATCAAACGACCGTTGAAAACCATTTGAAATGTGTGTCAGCACGTCATAAATAGAACCCGGCAGCAGTTTTCTGTCGGGGTTTGTTGAGCCGCGCCGCTCACGTCCATAGACACGGTGTAACATTGGTTTTGCTTTGTTTGACAGAACTAATCGTTACCTGGGTTGCGTACGTATATGTGGGGCGGAGCTATCAAAATAGGGGCAAGAACCTTTTGGCGTAGGGGCGTGTTTGTTTTGGTGATTTCAAATATCAACACTGGCTACCAGAAATCACTTACCCTGCCTTTAATTACTGTAGTTACTATCTCTCTCAAAATGTGAAGACCTGATTTCTCACACTATTGACCGATGTCTTCACCAGTCAGGATGATGTTTTTTCTGTTCGCTTGTTTGTGTGTGTGTTTAATTTAAAATTTTCCTTTTTCAATAAACACTGCACTCCCAAAGAGTGCACATTTAGCATGTGAAATGTTTTTGAGCTGAACATAGCTAGAAAAAAAATGATTTCCATGGAAAGCAAAGTTAAAACACCATGATATTTCCGAATTTCCAATCACACTTAACATCGCAGTGTTCATGTCACCGTACAATTACACGAGTAAGTAATGAGTAAGCAATGAGCACCATACAGTATACTGTGTAATTACATCTTGTAAGTCATTATTTTAAAATGAAACATGGGCACTGTAATGTTAAGCATTCTCTTACTCAGTCTGGTGTATGGTTTCACAGCTGATCTGTCACTGAAATAAGCTGGTCTTTTCCTTTAAACATCAGACTTTGAACCTCAAATCACATAAAGCCTCCCCCCATTAACACTGACCACAGACTTGAATATACACTGACCACCTTTTAAACAATAGACGCGGATATGGGCTAGAAATTGCGGTTTGTTAGCTGTTTGTACATATAGCGTGATCTGGAAACAATACTAATACAGACAGTACAGCTCAGATTTCTGAGGTTGTGTGAGAGAAACCGACGGGGGGGTTGGGGGGGGTGAAAAGACAAGAGAAAACAAGTAAATAATGACACCGAAATAAAGCCGTCACAAGTGCTCAGTCTGACAGGAACGACGGACGATACAAATACAAAGGGGTGCATATCGTGGCTTACCCGAAATCATCGTCCATGGATTTGAAGAAAAATTTGTAGTTGGGTTTATTGAGGACATTTTTGAAGTCGACGAGCGTGACGCTTTCAGCGGGAATGGGTAGTTTGATGAGGTAGGGAGTGTCCTGCTCGTCGAGGTGATAGATGATCTTGGTCTCCGCCATAGCGGGCCGCTGCTGAGAGACAGGCCGCGCACATCAGCCCCACAGCGGCTCGCGCTCCCAGCTTCCACCGCGCCTCTGTCCAGCCGCAGCCTCTGCGCGCTCTCTTCACTCAGCGACGATACACCCCAAGGACAGAGTATCCTTGCGGTCGTGTGTAATACAGCTCTATCGAATAGTAGAATATATCAGTATAATAGATGGTCCTCGGCGTTTTCTTTCCAAAAAGAATCGCGCAGGTCGGTCTCCTCTGGGCTCCCTGTGAATACTGTTGCTTTCCCCTCTTCTCTGTCCTTTGGAAACAACTCTGTGAGATAGCCCCTCCTATCGATAGCTCCCTCTACAGGACGAGCTATACAAATATTATATCTGCTACAGTTATAAATGTACTCATCTGATCTCAGGATAAGGGAAAGACGCAGCTCAGGAGGCCTTAAGTCGTGTTGTTGCGTATTAATCACTCAATAGAACAACTCGACCTTTTTGACTGCATGCGGACTGAATAGATTTCTGAATTATTTTCAATGTCCTTAAATGTTTTTTGGGGTTGTGAGGTAGTAGTAACCCAGCAAACTTGCACCTCATTGCTGTAACTCACCTGAGGAGGAGATACTGAGTAATGATTAGTACGCCCTCTAGAGCAGTGTTTCTCAACCAGGGGTCCGTGGACCCCTAGTGGTCCTTGACGTAAGGCCAGGGGGTCCGTATAAAGTATGAATTTTTGTATAAATTTCGTATATTTTGACATGTTCCCATGACAGAAAAGTCCAATATAGCTGATGATATGGCCAAATACTAGACAAGTCAGCTAACTTGCATTATACTTGACTGTATTTGGTCCTCACTGAGACACACAAATGATACATAGATGAGTCAGTTTTGTTCTGGGGGTCCTTGAGGATGGTTCTGAATTGGACTGGGGTCCGGTACGCCAAAAGGTTGAGAATCACTGCTCTACAGGATGAAACGGCTCCTGTACAGCTGTTGAACTCTGGTGACCTCTGGAGGTGCACAAGATCAAAAATATCTTTCTTTAAACTATATCAAAGTTGGCATGCCTTTAAATGGGGTAAATCAAGGCTGGAGTGGGACTCGTTTTTTATCCCTGGAGTTTCACGCCTTAGTTCACGACTGACTATAGGCCTATTCAAATAAAGTCATTAAAACCTGAGTATACAGGCCTATGTCTGCAACAGTGAACTGTCCAGCCTGGTAATCCGTTGTATTTTTTTGCTCACATATCTTCAACAACTGACGTTTTTTCAGCAAGGTGCTAAAACACTGTCTTCTGTCGGGGGAGTCAAACGATAATTACGTCATCATTAGGGTTGCCAATTAACTTCAGAAATGGAAAATAAGGGACCATTGTGATTCTTTATATTCTGAAAATAAGGGACAGAATAAGGGAAGCTGAAAATATTTGTACTGCACCATAATGTCTGCCTAAAAGGTTTTCAGAAATAATCACATTTGTTTTGCTTGACCTATTTATGTGCAATTATTCTAAAAAGAATTTTAATGTCATACAAAAAAAAAAGTCACCGGCCTGAGTTAATTGTACCATTCTAGAATTGTGACTGAGCAAGTAGTGTAGTAATTCAGGAGGGGAAAATACTGTGAAATTACATACTTACAAAAGGCATGAAATTTGAAAGCATAACAACTGAATGTCAATGAAACATCAGTCAGTAAAGCATTTCAATTTAGCAATTTTTTAAACTAACATTTTAGTGCAACCATATAGCCTACGAATGAATGAAAATGTAAAGAAAACAGTGTGGTAAAAAACGTATCTACGTCTGGTCCTTGGATTTGTACTTGGATTTGTGGTCCAATTTTAAGAATATGCTAGAAGTAAATTTTTTTAAATGTAGCCTATTTTTTTTCTCTGACAGAATTAACTCTTTTTTATTATTATTTTTTTTTATTAATTGATATATTACATTTTTTTTAAACATTAAGATGCATTTACGTTTTAATGGCAAGCCCCCTCCCTTGTAAAATACTGTGACGTATTTATAGTCTCCACTGTTACGTGTAACAGTCCTATAATAGGTTTTTAGTAGTGCTGTCAAACGATTAATCGCGATTAATCGCGATTAATCACATCCAAAACAAACGTTTTTGTTTACATAACATATGTGTGTGTACTGTGTATATTTATTATGTATATATAAAGACACACACATACTGCATATATTTAGAAAATATTTACATGTATATATTTATATTCATATAAATGATATCGGGTCATTCTATGGAAATGTCCATTTTTCTGTCCCTAGCCTTTGCAGAAATATTACACTTGAAAAACACTTTAGGGTTATAATTTTTTTTTAATTATTTTAAAATAAAACAATGTGTTATTTGAACAATTACACCTTCTTGAGCTATCAATGTGGCAATATTTGTTTTTAATTAATTATAAAGAATTCCAAAGCACCACAAAACTGCTCGTCCCCACAGCCATGTACAGAGGGGAAGTGCTTTATTTTGAGGTCAAAAACAGGGTTTTCTACCATTGAAAATACAATGATGTATTCATAACTATCAAATATATTATATAAATTACATAAAAAAACAAAATGGCAAATAAATATGATAAAATATGTAATGAAAGTAGTGGTCCCCTGGAGTTGTCACTGGTGTTACCGTTTAACAAAAATATTTGATTTTGAAATAAAAATCACACTGATGACATCACTTGACTTCCTTCCTCCCATTTCCTGAAGATCTGTGAAAAAAGGCCCATGTGAAGTCCACTGTCTCTCTTCAGTTATCAGAAATGTTCTCATTTATCTCATGATTTCATATGAAGCTTTTAGTGGAAGTCACTGGTGTGACCTACGTTATTGTTAGGGAATTGTAAACAAAACTAGAATACAAATGGATTAAACTTCTTAGTTTAGTGAGTATACCATGATTGACAACACGTGGTTTGATACCTTGCAGCAGGCATTTTGTAAAATGCATTTTTCATGAAAATTGTCACTGGTGTTACCTTCCTTATGGGTAGCACCAGTGAAGATCAGTTTATGTTTATGCTCTTTTACTAACTGCTTTCACTAATTGCCAAATGTAACAATTTAGTCTTATCTACTTAATTAAAGGCCCATGTGAAGTCCACTGTCTCTCTTCAGTTATCAGAAATGTTCTCATTTATCTCATGATTTCATATGAAGCTTTTAGTGGAAGTCACTGGTGTGACCTACGTTATTGTTAATACGTTAATTGTAAACAAAACTAGAATACAAATGGATTAAACTTCTCAGTTTAGTGAGTATACCATGATTGACAACACGTGGTTTGATACCTTGCAGCAGGCATTTTGTAAAATGCATTTTTCATGAAAATTGTCACTGGTGTTACCTTCCTTATGGGTAGCACCAGTGAAGATCAGTTTATGTTTATGCTCTTTTACTAACTGCTTTCACTAATTGCCAAATGTAACAATTTAGTCTTATCTACTTAATTATAGTTGAAGAATAAGGATCTTTGGACTGTATGTCACTGGTGTTTCAATGTGTCACTGGTGTTACTTTTTTTTCTGTCACATTAAATAAAATGTGTCACGTGGCATGATAATAATTGTACATTTATCATTATTTTTCTGTAACTCTGACTACATGTACTAAAAAAAATCGAGAAATAACATTTCATAAAAACCTTTAAAATTGCCAAAGAATTAAGGTAACACGAGTGACAAAAAAAATGGTACATGTGGTCTTTAAATAAATGCACAAAAAACATTTTTTTAAAAATGCTGTCATTTATGTGTATTCATAAAGTCAAAAGATAATATAATAATGTGGACTAAGTTTAAATGCAAAAAAAAGAAATACATTTGTGGCATGATAATAATTGTACATTTATCATTATTTTTCTGTAACTCTGACTACATGTACTAAAAAAAATCGAGAAATAACATTTCATAAAAACCTTTAAAATTGCCAAAGAATTAAGGTAACACGAGTGACAAAAAAAATGGTACATGTGGTCTTTAAATAAATGCACAAAAAACTTTTTTTTTTAAATGCTGTCATTTATGTGTATTCATAAAGTCAAAAGATAATATAATAATGTGGACTAAGTTTAAATGCAAAAAAAAGAAATACATTTTATAGACATCTTGCCATACCAAAAGTGGACGTTTCTGTAGAATGACCCTATCATATATAAATATATTTAATAAACGGAACATATTTTTCTTAAATATATACATGCATGTGTGTGTCTTTATAATAAATACACACAGCACACACATAGGCTACATTATGTAAACAAAAACTTTTTTTTTTTATGCGATTAATCGCGATTAATCATTTGACAGCACTAGTTTAGGTTTCCCTGAGATGATCTATAACATATATATTAATATCTCATTACAAGAATCGTGTTGTTATATCGCCTAACTAAACGTTTTTCTGTTAATTTCTCGCCATCCCAAACGCTTCTGACCCCATTTTCATAATTGGTGCGACATTACAGTTAACCCATTAGCCTACTGAAGCTTGCAATCGAGTGTCTAATTAATCGGACATTTGGCTGAAGACAATGATCCTGAAGAGATTGAGGCATGAGCAAACACTGGCAAAGACTAGAGGATTAGAAAGATTTGACTGTAACTGTTCTTTACTCCAAGTTTGGATGAACAAAAACACAGTCCCATCCGTCTTACTGACAAAAGGTAAGCATCGTTTTTATTGCATTATTGAAACGTGTATTTCCTAATACTCAAAGTAAAAGTAGCATTTGCCTATTATAGTCCACGCCTATAATGTTTGCATATTAACCATAGTTAAGTCCATGTTAACCACAAACAATGATTTACTTCTCATAACCGCGATAATACCAATGTTACTGTTTTTCCTAAAACAGTGTTGTTTGTAATGGTAAAGTAATTGTAACTACAAATGCCGTAGTTGTTCTTCCCCCAAAAGATTTAGCATCTACAACAATTCTAGCTCAGTTCCATAGTTGCTAAGGTGTACCTACCTATAGAAAAACCATGATACATTTCTAACAATGGGCTGAAGGGGTCACGTGGCTGAAACCGCATATCAAAGCACACACAGACAGGATCAGTAACACATTTACTCATTAAGGTAGACAACATTAGATGAGGGTGGAAAACAACCCCTTTTATTGTTGGCTGTGCAGTGTTAAAGCTTCCAATCAACAAAGCTATGATTCTACAAGCTAGAGAAACTTGCTGATGAGTGTCTGCCATATGCAAGAAAGTCAAATCCAAGGTTGGATCCTCAGACACAACACATATAAAGTGCTCTCTGTTGTCTTTATTACCTGTTAAACTGAACCTGTCTTCCACTGTGCTTGTAGTTAAGGCCAATGATGATCAGCTTGGACCCATCCACCTATAACCCCACCCTGAACACCCATCACGCTCACTGCATTCTCACAAATCATAATCCGTTCCAGTCTCTTCAATATATGCTCATTTAAGGGAAATTTGCCAATTATAAAATAAAAAATGGAGTGAAAGAAATGCAGTTTTCCAAAAAAAAATAAAAAATCACCACAGCATCTCAATTCCTGAAAACAACCGTTCACACAATGTATGACAATAGTTACCAATGTCACCCTAGTATGGCACAAATAACAAATTCAGGCTGTTCATTTGAACAGAAGTGTTGAAAACCCCCACAGTGTTGAAAGCTTTGAAAGGCACTAACATGGCTCCACTTCTTCTGTCTTGATATACCGGAGACTTAATGTTGAGTGGTTAGCACCAGGAAAGAGAAGCTTGAGAAAGACAGATTCCAGTTCAAACAAATAGGAAACAATCTGTTTATCACAGAAAAGCTGAGAGTGTGTTGGTTCTGCAGGATCTTCATTAGGCCATGATCAGATTTGCACAATGAGCACAGACTGTGTGCATTCACGCCAGTTTTCAAACACTGTCCAGGAAGGCGATGAGTCAGGGTTTGGTCCTCCTCAGAACACCTCTGTGTAGCTAGCAAAAGGAAAGTCTCTGAAATCTTGTTAAGTCCTCCAATTGATTTCTCAGAGAACAGATGCAAACACAACATGAGATGATGTGCATAGGCCGGAGGAACATATGCAAAACACCCACAAAAATAAACAAAGACACACATATCCACACACTCAAAAAGTTAATGGCTAACAGATGGCAACCAGTATCCTTGATACTGACATACCCCTATCCATATGCGTACACACACACACACACAGGTGATGGCATAATAACCATCGCAAACATTTGTCCTCCACTTTGTTCCACAGCCCTGAGCAGCTTTATGATTAGCTTATGAAAATCAGTGTCTGCCTTTATAAATAGACATCCCAGTGTTGGTGAGAGTGTGTCACCCATCAGCGCTGGCCTCTCACAATGCATTGCTATGGTCCAGTCTGAGCCAAGGAGTTCAATTCCTGTCCTGTTCCTGCCCTTCTGGCTTTTCACCTCAAACAACCTTCTGCTTCTCCACAGAAGTTTTGAACTCATGCGGACACATTGACGTCTCGCAGGGCGATGGTCCCGTTGGCAGGGGGCTCTGTGGGCGACGAAGGAGCAGAGGGTGGTGATGTGAGTAGAGATGGAGTAGTGGTGGTGTTGAGGGCACTGCTTTGGAACAGTATCTGCTGAAGTGTCCTGCGTAGATTTGGGTGCAAACGGGCCTGAGTTTGATAAAATACCTCCACAGCAAAACACTTCATCACCCCTCCGCACAGATCCTCGTAAAGGGGCACTGTGTACATCCGTGAGGTCTGGAAAGGAAGAGGAAGAGGAAAGATAATAGACAACCCATTGCTAAAACAGATCAGATGAAACATTTATTTTCTATAGGCCTACATGAAATGCCCCATTCTTAATTTAAAACAGATCTCAGTAAGGTCCAGTCAAAATGCCACAGTGAAAGTAGTAACAAAAGTCCAACTTCATGCACTACTCGCACTTTAATATAACTCTGACAAGCACCCTTTAAATATCTCTTTCATGTGACAAGATATACAGCAGATAAAGTGTGTTTGAAGTGTCATGCAAAGAGGAATGCCTAAAGCACTGTAACCGTTTTTTTATTAAATAGGTTTACAAAATTACAAAAGACACAATGTTCAATAAAAAAAAAAGTTACATTATTAATATCTGTAATAATAAAAATAAACCATAACTGGCAAGTAACAATTTAACATTCATTTTCCTGGCATTAAACACATCTCATCTAATCAGAAGTTAGCGTTAGAACTAACTAGTGGTCGACCGATATTGTTTTTTTGACAGCCAATGCTGATATTTTAGAGAGCAGGGTGACCGATGGCCGATATAAGAATATTTTTTTTATTTTAATTATAATTTATAATTATAATTTTTTTTTATTTTAATTAGTATTTAAGAAATTTGTAATAATTTGAAAATGAATTATATTAAAATTAAATGTGTAAAATAAATATACTTCTACTTTAGATGACAACTTCCTGATTCTGTAATCCTATTACAGTATTTTTCACAAATAAAGAAATAAAAAGAAATTAAAAACTGTAACCAACAGGGCACTCTGGGAAGTTTGTGTGTATTGGGAATATATTTTTTCAACTAAATCCATGGTAACACTCATTTTACATGCAGCACACAGCAAAAATGACATGAATATGACAGTAGTCAAATGGATAAAGTGCAATATAATTTTAAATCACGAGTTTAAAGTTTGTCGATTGCGCATCTCCAGTGAAGCTGAACTCTCCTCCAGTCCGCATTCAATTCGCACAGACCAACCGTTACACAGAGCACACACGATCATGCAGGAAACAAATGCACACTTCACAAGATCTCACAATTATTCTACTAATGCCGGGTTCAGACTACACGATATTTTTGTCGGTCACGATAGTCACCGTGTCAGATTACACGATTTTGACTCCTAAAATCTTGTCGTGGCGTGGACAAGAAACATGTCAGACTACACGTTGGTTCCCGGCCATTCATCGCGTGATGTCATCAAGAAGGCGGAACTAGCGACTGACTTCCGAAAACAAGAGTGTAAACTTTGCTGAACCGCTTCCGCTATAGCTCGCCAGCATTTTTCTTTCTTTGTTCTGTCGTGGTAGTCCCTCGATGACACATCATACAGGCAGGAGTATTGTTGCCAGAGCTCCACGAACCTTTCCTCCATCTCATAATTCCACCTAGCAACACCATCTTCTCTCTTTCGTTTTGCCATGTTTGAAACCTGTGTATGAAAGAGCTTCTGTGCTGCTATTGGTCAACGTCACCAATGTGACAGAACTCGTCGTGGACGACGGAAAAAAAATGAAACATGCTAGTCTTTCTGTCGTGAAGCATCGCAGACGCGGAATCGGTTGTCGTCCACTATGACACACTACACGAGCTGAAACGATGGAATCTTGCGTCCCGACGCCCATTGTCGTTTACGAATCCCCACGTCAAGCAAATCGTGGCAAAATCAGGCTAAAATCGTGTAGTCTGAACCGGGCATAAGTCTGTGGAATCAAATGTTTATTAGACATTTGTATAAATTATATAAATGCATATTTGCTGAACACTGACGGTAAACAAGATAGTATTATAATGTTTACCTACCTGTTACTAATAATATAAAAGCAACAGTTATAATACTTTTTTGTATACCTTTTAATTCATTTGTTCAACAGTTCTATCTGATTATTAGACAGACTTCTTTCCATATTAGGCAGGACTGTTAAACGATGACAGCAAACAATGAAGAGGGAGAATGTGAGCGCTGTGTGCGCAGACAAAATAAAAGTCGCAAACATATCAGCCAAACCGAAAAACCTATCGGCCAATGCCGATATTTGAAAAATGCCAAATATCAGCCGATATATCGGCCTTTGCGATATATCTGTCGACCACAAGTTAGAACTGTATGTTTTATATATCCACTTTGGAGGTTAATTTTATACATTTCAAATCGTTTGCCATATATGACAGGTTATGGTATCATCAGAATTCACTATGAAGAATTCATAAACTTATTACAGTCTCTTAGGATGAAATGCAACCATGCTTGACACAATACACTTTAGAATATGGTAATCAATACAACATGATTTGGATGAAGCAAAAGAAACCAGCCAAACTGGTTGTGATTGAGTACATCTCTTTACAGCTCTGAAAAGAGACATGACGTCATAAACAGTCAATAGTCAAAGCCGAGAGTGTTTATTAGAAACACTGGAATGTGGATGCCCTTTAAGGAAAACTCAGTTTATACTGAGTGGAGGGGTGAGGGAGAAATAGAGAGCGCCAGGCACTAACTCACTAAATTACACGCTTTTATAAACCAGACTGTCCATAGCTTAATAGTGTTTGTGCCCTCTAAACACAGGCAAAATAAGAGACTGATTTGCTTGAACTCATCTTCAGACCACACAAAAGGCTCTTACAATCAATATGGAGATGCTACATTAATGTATTTGATTCACAAAACTCACATGTTTATGCAAGAAGCTGCGAACTCGGGGCAGATCAGCATAAAAGCTGTTCCGCACTACAATCTGCAGCCATCGAATCTGGACTTCAGCGTTCATGCCGTCCAACAACGCCGAGTAGCAGCTTGACAAAAGACTCATCACCTCTGAAAGGACAATCACATTTCGTATTACAAGAGAAGAGATGTCAAACATCAAAGCAATGGGAATACTAATGTCGACAAACTGCGAAATGGATTCTGAATACCTTGAGGCAGAGGTGAGCGGTCTAGAAGTCGGTCCAGGAAGAGGACGGTCTGAAAGGTGCTCCAGGAGGAGAGGTCAAATGTAGAGATCACTTGGGGGTCAGGGGCATCCACGCACCAAAGATCACACAGGTGGTGAACAGGGCCTGATAGAGCACTACCCGCCGAGAGATCTGGTTCACATAACGGAGGACCACAGCCATTTAGCCATCGCTCAAATTCCAGACCTGAGCAAGAGGGGAAGGAGTGTCACATTTCTGTCTATTAAGCCTCCATCTCTTGCACTGCTAATGTTGCTCTGACCCCTCACTGGGTGTTATGACTGGCTCAACAGGGAAATTCCTAACTGAGGACAAATGGAGCGCAGTGAGACGAGTAACTAAAAGAGTCTCTGTGTGTTAATCATCATCTCTGACAGCTGTCGAAACTCACCCTCTCGTTCAGCAACGCAGCTCTCCTTCAGCTCAGGGAAGAAGCCAAGGAAAAAGTCCAACAGATCCTGAGCGATTACGCTGCTGAATCTGAACTTCTCAATGTAGGCCTACACAGTGAATGGTGGAAAAATTCAGAAACTTCATGTGTGGACCATGCCATATATGTACAGTGGAGCATAACAATTCACGCATGTGTGCGGTGAATGTCATGTTTCTCACCCTAAGAAAACTATCAAATCTCTTGATGTCGCCACACAGCTGTGAGAGGTAAGATACGAAGCAGAAGCCTTTCTCATAGGTGAACAGATTCATTAGACTGCTGGGGTTTACACCTTCGGAGAAAGAGAAGGAAAATGGATAACATGGTACATTGACCCACGAGTCATAGGTCTGACACTTCACAAGTACTTTATAAATATTTAAGCACATTTCCCAGACAAGCTGAACTTTGCAAATGAGGATTTTCCTAGCTTCTGTCTTTCTGAAATCTGAGTAACAAGGAATTTTAGATGCATTTACCATCATGCATTTAGCATGATTTCAGGTGTACGGAAAAATCACTAAGTACCAAACCCAAGGTCTCTTTCAGACTCATACAAAAGCTGGTTTATATTGTTAAAAAGGTTGTACCTGGCTCAAATTTGGCCTGCAGCTTACTGACAGGATTGTTGTCTCCAAGAAGACGCATCTGTCTGTGAAGAGCATCTAGACGGAACACAGTCTCAAGACAAGTGAAGGCTTCTCCTGAATTAGAAAAATGAAAAGATAAATGTAAAGAGAGCATTGTGGGATATCAACAGGCCTCTGCACACTGCTGGGGCAAATGCAGACACTCCCATATCACTGGCATCATTCTACACAAGTATGAATCTTTGTGAAATGTATGCATAAACATTTGCAAAAGGCCTACATGGTGATGTTTCTATATTTGGATATGTGTGAGGATATGACGTGTATACCATAGGCCTCTGTGGTAATGCGCCTCTGAGCATAAGTGGCCAGACCCTCACTGAGCCACATTTCTTCCCAGGTAGCATTGGTGACCGCATTGCCAAACCAGCCGTGAGCAATCTCATGGATGACATCAATCAGCAGAAACTCTTGACTCTCCAGTATGGAAGAAATTATGAAAGTAAGACAGGGATTCTCCATGGCAACGATGGGGAATGAAGGAGGAAGGAACACTATGTCGTACCTGTAAAGGGAGAGACGGGTTAATACCTGATTATGAGGCTTGATGTGAACAAGATTGATATGAATGGAAAGTACGGAACGGACCTTCCCCATACATAAGGCCCAAAAAGACCCTCTGCCACATTAAGCCAGCGCTCCACACTGCCACCCAGTTTACTAACCGCACACGTCAGGATGCAGGGCTCTGCCCACACACGACTCCTAAAAGCAGATTGTGGCTGAGGTAAAGCACTAAACACTAATGAAGACAATGCATATATCTTACAACAATGAGCCTGAGATAATTGGCACATAAGCCAGCTTAAAAAGCCAGCATTTCCAGGCTAGTTATGCTAGATAGTACTGGTTTGGTTTTGATATGCTGATGAACCAGCATAGCCATGCTTTGTGCAAGCAGAACTTAGCTGGTCAACCAGCATGGTTTTTTGAGAACCTTGTTGACCAAAGTAGCACATTCATGCTGATAAAAATAGGCAACTGATGTGGTCTTGACAACTGTGGTTAAGCAGCCTATTTGAGACAAACCAGCACACTAGCATTCTAGACTGAGCACCAGTATATCACGGTTTAAAAGAACATATGCTGGTATCGAACTATTCTGTTGTTTTCAGCAGGGATACTCAATCCTTATTTACCTGGGCCCAATGTCTGCATGCTGCAGGTCTCCTGCCACCAGGGCAACCAAGTAGGTTGGGACAGGGTGCTCCATGGTGAACTGGAAAACCCTGTCCTGTTTAGAGTATGCACTTCTTGAGGCACTCATCAACACTGTAACACCTTCTGGTACCTGTAACGCAGTAAACATGATCAATAACCAGAAAACAACACTGAATTCCCACAAAGATGTTTTGGTGGATCTGAGCAGCTTAGACTTACCCTGACAGTGGCAGAGTAGGTGCTTTTGACGGCTGGCGTGTCAAAACAGGGAAAAAATGACCGGTTGCAGACCGAGTGACCCTGAGTGAAGACCAACGGTCGGGTTTGTCCGCATGTCAGCTCTGCATCCAGCCACCAAATCTGATGAAGGAACCAGGGAACAGTAAGGTGCGGGAGTACCTTTGGCAAATAAATGTTCTAGAAAATAGCTCTGAGCATGCAAATGAATCGATACAGATTTATGTAACAAGGTTTAGGTTGCATGGTTATAAGATAGGCAATAAAGCACTGTAATTTCATTTATTTCATACAGGTGAAGCAGTTGTGAATCCAAACGTCAAGTTAAGTTCTTGATGAAGTTGCAGAAACAACAGACAACTACCCATATAGAGGTGAGCAGCTAAAACGCCCGTTTTGTGTGTATATTACGCCCCTAAAATAGCACAGTGTACGCAGGGCACAGCAATAAGAATGACCTTATAGCCTGGGGCCAGTTTTGGACCAGCTTACAGAGAACTGATATGTAATGTTTTTATGCATTGCAAACTCATATATTTGGCTCTCTGTGATGCGTGTTGTTTAAGTTGTTATGAATTCTGCTGATGTCAAGTGTTTGCCACGGTAATGTTATCTAGTTGGCTATTATAGATGAGGTTTTGATAATGAATTGTTTTGGAAGCATCAGTGAGAATGATGTTTTGCTTTGAGGGGCTGAAAAAAGACTTCCAAGAAACACAGTTGTCATGCTGATATAGCTGTATAGTTTCTGGCTAATACTGCGAATTATTATTATTTTTGCAATGAAGAAAACTAATGAAAAATGTAGTTTCTGACACATAACGCTACTAAACACTACAGCAGTCAAAGGAGCATATAAGGTACATTCAAAATGAAACCCCTCTGTGCAAGCGGGCAATGACATGTACAGGTTACAGCGCAAATAACACTAAACAGGGTTGTTTTCGTATTCAGCTTGTATATCTAGCCATCTGTAATTGAAACCTGTTGAACACAGCCCACCTTCCAGTAATGACCTCGTGCAATAATCTACTCACGAGGACATGTCACTACACCGAGGTCATTCTTATCAGTATAGCTCAGGCGCTCCAGCACACTCGCTGTTTTCTATCCTTGCGTGTCTCTAATAAATAAATGGGGTGATCCCACAAGCATGTTTACAATCCCGCGTCCCACAGGACCCCTTTAATCTCGCGTAAAAGCGAACGTGGCAGAGCTGGTTGTCAACATTAAGGCTCCGCTGCTGGGATATTTTTAGTGGATATTGGCTCTGTGTACAATAGTCCTGTGCAACAAAGTTATTATTAGCGTGTATCAGAGGCTGTCACCGCGTTGACCTTACCGCAGGGCCGTCTGTGGTCGTGTAGCGGATGGTGAGACGGAAAGCCCGGTGCGGCCGGACCACCGCGGCCGGGAGGCTGATGTTCAGAGAGGATCCGTAATCGGTGAACGGTTCTATTCGGTAGGTGAGCGACAAAAACACGTCGGGAGCACCGGACGCGCCGGGCACCTTGCAGTCCACGGAATGAATTAATAACGAAGGATGCGTGTCCAGAATGAGCGACTGGACGCCGGGCTGGACGGGCGTGAGCTCCAGAACCTGCCATCCCGTCATCCTCTTGACGGCGAAGTTCAGGTGGAGGTCCAGGTGGAAATGTCGGAGCTTAAAGCTGTGGAAGTTGGACGCCGACGCGACGTCCACCAGGCGACAGTGCGCCAGACTCCGGCCGCCCTCGCAGGACTTATTACCGGGCACGGCCAGCACTTTCCGACAGCAACACAGCGTCGGCCGCTGCAGCTCGGCCATCGTAAAGTTTGGCGAAGAAATACACGATAACGTGACGACAGCGTCAAACTTTAAAAGCGGCGGTCTTCGAGCTCGAGCTCGGCGGAAGAGATGAAAGAGCGCTCGAGTTAGTTACATTGTTGCTGGAGTTAAAGGGGCGGTCGAGGCTGGACACTCCGCGGAGGAGGAAACCGAATGAAAGTAATGATAATAAAACGACCAGGAAGGCAGTAAAAGGCATTAAAACAAAACACAAGTCTACGTAAAATCCATTAGAGCCGTAGACACGACTGACTTCAGCCCTCCGACCTCCATCTAAAGCAGAATATACGCGTGGATGTCCCAATCCGTTCCGAGATCCCTGCGGAGAGATCGGCAAAAACTACCGCTAGAAGAAACAACGCATAGTGAAACCCCGATGAGCAGAACCGATCTGAGTTAAGTGACTCCCTTAGAAAACAGGAAGTAAAAACAGGGGAGGAAATCACTTCGAGACGGGAAAGTTTTCGAGCTGCAGGGGGGCGCTGCGGAGCTCCAGCACAACACTGTCCAGCAGTGGACAAGCATCAGGAAAACCAGGTAAATAAATACATTTAAAAAAGTACGCTTCCATAGTGTAATTTTGTGCTTCATGTAGGCTACTTCTTAAAGGGGCCATATGATGTTGCTAAAAATAACATTATTTGGTGTATTTGGTGTAATGAAATATGTTTATGCGGTTTAAGGTTAAAAAAACACATTATTTTCCACATACTGTACATTATTGTTTCTCCTCTATGCCCCGCCTTTCTGAAACGCAAGCGAGGTGTGCTCTGATTGGCCAGCTATCCAGTGCGTTGTGATTGGCCGAATTCCTCAAGCGTGTGACAGAAATGTTACGCCCCTCACCATACTGTGATGCCTGCGGCAACCACATGTGACGACCCCGGGCTGGACGGTGAAAGCCGATCTGGCGATCCACAGCTTGAAGTTGAAGTATTTCCTCAGCGACCAGCACGGATCAGCTCCAGGCATGACGAAGCGGATATCGTCCTCTTTTGGAAGACCAAACAAAGTAGTTTCGCTTTCACAACGAAGCACACAGCGCCTTCACGACATGGCGGCGGCAACAACAATACTACAGCGAGAATAAAAGTTACGCCTTCTTTCTTTGGTGAACATTTGGGCGGCGTTATGCAAATCTTCCCACATAGTGAGGTAGACATGTGGGGGCGTGTTAGAATGAGCCGTTTTAGGTAGGCGTGGCTGACTCTTAACTTTTATAAAGAATATCTCTTTGGATTTGAGACTTTAGTCTTTGCAACTTTACAGATCTTCTTTATGCACCAAGAGCTTGTAACACTCCAAAGAGAAAGGAAAACTTGAAATCGCATCATATGACCCCTTTAAGATAAACTTAAGATCAACTAAGTGTACTCAACTGTGCTATTTCGGGACATCATGGATATGAATTAAAATGTGCTTTAAACATACTATCTCTGTATTTAAAAAAAATATATATATTTAGTCACCACTTGTACACTCGAGTGTACTAAGTGGTGATTAAATACATTTTTAAATAGAGATAGTATGTTAAAAGCGCATTTTAATTCATATTCATGATGTCCCGAAATAGCACAGTTGAGTACACTTAGTTTATCTTAAGAAGTACTAAAGAATCATTTTTAGTATATTAAGTACAAAATTAGTGCGTGAAAATAGAGCACTTTAAGTACATTATGGAATTGTACTTTTTTTAACCGGGGAACAACAGGACTGGGTCATATTTGTTATGGATTACAATGTAGTTTATATAAAGTGCCCACGTTACTGTTGGTAATAGACTAATTAATGTCAGATCTGATGGTGTTGCCTGCCTGGGATTAAAAGGACTGGACTAGTAATGCACCCATATTAAAATTGTGGCTGTTACTAATAAAACACTTATTTCATGTTATGGCCAAAAACCGATAAATGGCTACTATTTTCTGCAAATATTTATGTTTTTAATGATTAACTTTAGGGGAGCATCAGATGAGGCAAATGTAAAACTGGAGAAACAAGCATGCACAATTACATCTCCAATATCAACAACCTACTGTATAAATGACAAAAATCTGTAATATCATTTAAAATGGTGCCAGTACAATGTTTCTAAACAGCACAGAGGCAGCACTGAATAAGATATTTACTTAAAGAGATAGTTCACCCAGAAATGAACATTTTCATTATTTACTCAAGTTGTTCCAACCTTATATGAGGTTCTTTCTTCTGCTGAACACAAAATAGTTTGTTGACGCCATTGACTTCCATAGTGTGGAAAGGACCCCAGCAGCTGCTTGGCTGTTCTTCAAAATGTCTTCTTTTATGTTCAAAAGAAGAAATAAACTCATACAGGTATGGAACAACTTTTTACATTTTTGGGTGAACTGTCCCTTTAAATACTGATTCAGACAAAATGTTGGTTTTAGAGTTGCATTTGATAGTGTCGATGACAATGTACTCATTAACAGACTGAAAATGTGGGTAGGACTCTCTGAGACAGTTGTTTAGATGGTTCAGGTCATATTTAGCAGGCAGGGCAACTTTGTGAACATTTGTGAACATGCCAGGGCATGAATCAAATTTACAGCTGGCTATTCCAAGTTGAATTAACTAAAGACAAAGGAGCGGTGATTATATTTGGCAATAAAGATGAAATATCAAAGGTGAGTGCATACCTTGACTTCAAAAACTAAAAATGAAGTCAGGAACCTTGGTATCATTCTGGAATATTATTTCAAAACCCATATATAAGCACTAACTAAATCAGCCGATTACCATCTAAAACAGTACAAATCAGATCCTTTGTGCACAAATAAGACCTCATGCATTCATGAGCAGCAGGGCAGATTACTGCAATAGATTTCTTACTGGCCTTCCCTGGAGGACTATTAGACAGTTGCTGGCTCCTGAGCAAAACCAAAAAAACTGAGCTTATTACCAGTCATTAGGTCATTATATTGGCTTCCTGTTCCAACTGTATGGAATTCCCATAATGGCCTTGTACCAAAATCCCTTGCTGATGTGCTGGTGAGAAGGCATTTAGATGCCACCTGGAAAAAGCTTCTAAAAGTTATCAGGGGGGTCCCGAATTTTGCTACTTTTATTATTTCTTTTGTACCTTTTTATGACTACTATTTTTTTATTTTTATGATTATTTTTATGTAAAGAACTTTGAATTACCATTGACATGTGGTATATAAATAAGCTTACCTACAGCTTTCAGAATGGATGATTCATGAACAATTACCTTTAACAGGACACATAAAGAACAGTTTACCTGAAATGAAAATTCTGTCAGTAATTTACCATCGTAAAGCTTGGAACATAAACGAGCCATCTAGCAAAATGTCTAGTTTGCTCTTTTCGTTACAATAAAAGAGGGAAAGAATACCAGTGGTTCTCAAGCTCCACTGACAGATGAGTTCACACAATTCCGCATTCTGAACATTTTGCTAAATAATCTCTTTTGTTTCTCTTTCTTTTAAAGGGGTCATATGATGCGATTTCAAGTTTTCCTTTCCCTTTGGAGTGTTACAAGCTCTTGGTGCATAAAGAAGATCTGTAAAGTTGCAAAGACTAAAGTTTCAAATCCAAAGAGATATTCTTTATCAAAGTTAAGAGTTAACCACATCTACCTAAAACGGCTCGTTCTAACACGCCCCCACATGTCTACCTCACTATGTGGGAAGATTTGCATAACGCCACCCAAATGTTCACGCAAAGAAAGAAGGCGTAACTTTTATTCTCGCTGTAGTATTGTTGCCGCCGCCGCCATGTCGTGAAGGTGCTGTGTTTCGTTGTGAAAGCGAAACTACTTTGTTTGGCCTTCCAAAAGAGGACGATATCTGCTTCGTCATGCCTGGAGCTGATCCGTGCTGGTCGCTGAGGAAATACAACAACTTCGCGCTGTGGATCGCCGGATCAGCTTTCACCGTGGACGAAGCGGAGTCCAGCCCGGGGTCGTCACATGTGGTTGCCGCAAGCCCTCCGGACTCTCCTTCATTGAATCCGCCGGCCGCGCCGTTCTCAAGCCCGCCGCCTCTGCTCACTCTAGTTTGTAAAAATCGACACGTTTCAGAGAGGCGGGGCATAGAGGGGAAACAATAATGTACATTATGTGGAAAATAAGGTGTTTTTTGAACCTTAAACCGCATAAACACATTTCATTACACCAAATACACAAAATAATGTTCTTTTTTAGGAACATCATATGGCCCCTTTAAGCGATATGATGGTGATTAGCTGAATTAATTTTTTAGGTTTGGATGAACTATTCCTTTAGGTATCATGCTCGAGGGACAATCATTACAATAGTTACTGAATCACATCATGTACGGTGTCTGGAACGATCCCATTGACCCCAGGTTTCTCCAGAGGGGCTGTTCTTGGGATAAGTGTCAGCTAAATGAATAACCACAGTAATGTTATATATTGCAGTAAACTCTTGTTGCAGTTGGTTGGCACACATGGTCTGTAGGGGAAAGAGCCATCCTGCATAAGCATATGATAATGTATTGGCTGCTCAGGTCCATTTACAAGTGTGCTGTTGTAATCTCTGAAAGTGCTGGTTTCCCTTGTCATCCTGGACACCGTCCTGCTTTCTTTCTTTGGGCAGATGTGTTTGTGGACTGGACTTAGTTTAGTTTATGTACTTTCTCCCAACGTAATTATATTTCTCATCAACAGAAAGAATGAATGGAATATCTACTATACACTCGTATATCACTTTTCTTTGGGTCTTTGTCTCCCTCAGAAATGGTAATGTTCTTTTCTTAGCATTGCCATAAATGTGCCATCCAAGGCGAACAGAAGTAAAAATTAATTGGATGTAATTATTACGAGGAAATGGCAGAATAACATGATGCATAACTGAATTGAATCTGTGAAAAGGCACATGAATTATAATTTTGCTACAGTGTATAATGAGTAAAATGAACGTCTCATCTTCTTCTATAAGGATTTCACTCTGGGATAAAATTTGTATTACAGTTAATCCTCTCTCAGTAATCCAGAAGCAGAGACACTGAAAGGGTAAACCTAAAATAAATTTATTGAGACAGCAGAGAGACTACGCTCTCCTACTCTCCTTCCACCCTTTTCACAAGGCAATTAAGAAATCATGCTAAGGCTATGGAAAAAAAAATGGAAATGACAAGACATTTTTGCAGGGTCTGATGAGGGGAAATCAGATTCCCCTTCATGCAGACCACAAACGACCATCACAACCTGATTCAGAAAGTCCATTCAGAGCGATCTCTTTGTACCAGTGCTGTGATAGACAACGTAACACACACACAAAAAAACAAAAGGCCCGTTCTAGCAAATTTGGCCTGCTAAGATTATGCTCGACGAGCGTCTCTTTTGGGACAAAGTCAAAACAATGTCTGTGACCTCCTACAGAGGTGAATACAAAGTGCAAAAACAAGCCAAAATGAGCAATGCTTTCATACGTAAAAGAGCAACAAAAAAAATACCACATAAGAGGAAAAATAAAAAGTAACTGGCAAAAATGTTAACAGTGGAAATAGGCTATAAATATACAAAGGCCTCTTAGCTAAATAAGACTGAATCCTTGGTGTGCTGAACAAGGAGACAGTAAATAAGCAGCACTGTTTCTCTTAAAGAGTCCCACTTACTCAGTGCTTGTACAACATCCTGTGGACAACGTCACCTGTGCCAAAGTTTAGGGTTCAAGTCACAAGACAACATTTACACATGTACTGAAGACTGTCAAGTTGTCAAAAATATTAAACTGTAATGAAAGATGATCCATCTGAATGTATGTATATATTACATACTGTACATAGACCAGCAGAATCAATACAAAAGGACTCTGCAACCACCTTGTAAATATATATACTCATATAAACAGAGATATTGTACTCTGTAAAACATACCAGTTTGCATGAATTGAACTACATGGAAACTGATTTCCCCACTTCGTTATGTAAATATCATTACAGTATCAGTGTTTCCTGACCTAACCATTTAAGCTCACAAGTAGTACATCTTAACAGGCATGCCCCTAATGACAGCCCATGAGTTTCATGGAAATACTATACTCTCCCTCCCCAGGTCCCTATAGGTTTGCAGGAGGGAGGAACATTGAAGCAGCAATGACTGGAATATTAATGGAGAATGTTCCCTTCGGCCCTCGGGAGTGAAACCTTGACTCGGACATCCTTTAGCCTCTTACAGAGATTTTGTTCTCCACCGCTGCCAGCATCGCACAGAAGCGTGAGTTCTCATTCGCCAAGAGCTTGGACGGCTCGTCAAATTCCACCACCTGGGTCAAACAGAAAAAGACTGTGAGTCACAGAAGAAAAAAGGGGGAAAAAAAGGCTTCTTTCATCAAATACGTTTGAAGGAACCGTGGAGCATTGGATTACATCCCACCAGGGTCGGAAAATAATTAAGGGGGGCTTGGGGCAAAAATGCCACCAAAGTGAACAAAAATGCCATCCAAATTCAAGATAAGTAGGAGAAAACTGCCCCTGCACAAGTAAACTAAATCTGTTATGTCTGCTCACATCGAATCATATTTTCTGTTCATTTTTTACAGCATTGAGCATTATAACCAATCACACACATTTCTAATGAGCTTATGAATCCAATGGCCAATAGAGGTAGCCTATTTAAATTAGTCACTGCTAAAAACCGGCAGTCTGAAGAGTTCTCTCATCATGAACAAGAAAGTGGCGGTATTTCGAAGCGTAGACCGTGTCAGTGATTGTATCTGGGGGTTTTATGAGTGCAGAACTTGCCCTACATAGACTGAAGTCATGGACCGCTTCAGTGATGGGGAACAACTTTGCTCGCTTTCTGTGTATAACTTATTCATGTTCGTTTTTCATGCTACCAAAATAACCAATTTGAACTCTTTGACTTCTAACGCTTAAAAAGCAATAGACAAATTCATAAACAATTATTTTTTGTCTTTTTTTGGGTTTGAGGAAACAAGCTCTTTTTTTTCATGAATTCTGTTAATCAACATTAAAGATACAAAAGGAGCATTTAAAAACAATAATCATTTTCATAGTATTATAGCTATACTCCGTAACGAGTTCCTGTTTTATTGATATATTAAAGGGTTAGTTAACCCAAAAATGAGTACTTGTGTTGTTCCAAACCCGTAAGACCTTCGTTCATCTTCGGAACACAATTTAAGATATTTTTGATGAAATCTGAGGGCTCTCTGACCCTCCCATAGACAGCAAGGTAACTACCACGTTCAAGGCCCAGAAAAGTACCAAGATGATCGACAAAGTAGTCTGTGTGACATCAGTGGTTCAACTGTAAAGTTACGAAGCTACGAGAATACTTCTTTGCGCAAAGAAAATAAAAATAACGACTTTATTCCACGTTTTCGTCTCTACTGTGTCACTTGTGGACGTGCGTTCACGACAGTATCATGATGCGAGCGAGTGATAAAGTCGTTATTTTTGTTTTCTTTGCTTCGTAACTTTACGGGTTTGGAACAACACGAGGGTGAGTAATTAATGACAGAATTTTCATTTTTGGGTGAACTAACCCTTTAAATGTAGGCTATTTACATTATGAAGCTATAGTGTAAATACCTATCAATGCTATGTCAGATGCAGCTTCTGTTCCAGCGTAAAGATGGCTTTTGGTGATGCTGATAAAACGCGATTGGTCTATAGCATTCTGATTGATTAATCGGTTAAATTTAAGTATTTGATGTAGAGTAAGTATTTGACATTTAATACAGGTAATTATAAAGACTGCCCCTACAATGATAAAAAAATAAATAATACCCAGGAAATCAATTCCAGGGGCAAATATTGCCCCCTAATGGAAAGGTTTTTTTTATCCAAACTAGTCATTAGACCGCTACACCATACCTGGCCCTGATTGAGCACCATGATACGGTCACAGCTGAGCACCGTGTGCAATCGGTGTGCAATGGTCAGCGTGGTGCAATCCTGGAACGCATTACGAATCGTCTCCTGAATCAGACAGTCAGTCTCTGTGTCCATAGCCGCTGTGGCCTCGTCCAGAATCAAGATCTAAAAATCAGGAGGAAGCAAATCGGATGACCCGGTTAAGTGAGACCAAGTCTGTTCTGCATTATCAGCTAATTCCAGTCAGCTTTCTCTAATGGACAAGACCAAAGTCGGGCTGTTAACTCACCTTGCACTGTCTCAGAAGAACTCGGGCCACACAGAGCAGCTGCCGCTCACCCACGGAGAAATTCTCCCCGTTTTCCACCACCTCGGACTCCAGCTTTAAAGGCAGCTGAGACACCTGAACAACAGAGAGGAGATGCAAGACCATCAATCACAAAGATTCAAAGCTGTGGGAAAACTGAAAGAAACGGTGATAAGATGAAGGGAAGAGCAACAAGAAGTCACTGAGATTTCATACGTGCCCTTAGGTGTGAAATGAATCGGATGAGCAGATGACTCAATGACTGACTCAGACTTGCTACAGGTGGTTTTAATTTCATATTTAAATAACCATTTCATTAAAAAAAAAACATATTTCAATATTCATAATATTATGCAATCGTAATTGCAGTGTAAATGCATCTAAATGCCACTTCAGACGCAGCTTCTGTGCCACTTCTGCCGTGCAAAAGTAGGTTTTGTTGATTTAATTTGACTGGTAACAACCTATAGTGTCTTATTATTGTAATTACATTTATTAATTAAATGTAAGACTTTGACACAAGATGATGCATACATCAAATAAGGTTAGAAAAAATTGCTTTATAAAATGCAAATATCGTCGAAAAGCTGTGTCAACTGTTCACAACTAGTCAAGATACCAGTACAAAAACAATCGCTACAAATGAGCAATCGTCTAATTACACCCCTCACACCCCTAGCTGATGATAATGCTACAATCGAACCCTCCATCAGGTCCCACCTTCATCCATGTCTTTGGAGAACCGGTTGAGGATGCGAGCCGTGGGCGTCGTGTCAAAAAATTTCATGGGACTACGAAGAATCTTCTGAAAAAGTTCTTCATGGAGCCTCGAGGAGGCACGCATAGTACCCTTGAAAAACAAAAGATCACCCGCTGAAACATGGAGCTCATTCTCTGACACAGCAAGTCACAAGCATCATGCAAAACTGCAATCGCTATAAAAGTAACTATATGATGTAAAATCTCACCTTAACAAACACAATGCCTCTCAGTAGTTTGAGAAGGAGCATGATTCCCATAGACATAGTGTAGACAGCAGCATAGTGTTGCATCAGAGGGTTATCACGCATACTCTCACTCAGTACTGAGCTGTTCCCCACCTGCACCGTCGTGTTCTGTTGAGCAAGACATCACAGACACATTGCATTATACAGTAAAACATGGTAATGAATGAACATTTGTGTGTATTTATATATATATATATATATATATATATATATATATATATACACACACACACACAAAGCAAATCGGATGACCCGGTTAAGTGAGACCAAGTCTGTTCTGCATTATCAGCTAATTCCAGTCAGCTTTCTCTAATGGACAAGACCAAAGTCGGGCTGTTAACTCACCTTGCACTGTCTCAGAAGAACTCGGGCCACACAGAGCAGCTGCCGCTCACCCACGGAGAAATTCTCCCCGTTTTCCACCACCTCGGACTCCAGCTTTAAAGGCAGCTGAGACACCTGAACAACAGAGAGGAGATGCAAGACCATCAATCACAAAGATTCAAAGCTGTGGGAAAACTGAAAGAAACGGTGATAAGATGAAGGGAAGAGCAACAAGAAGTCACTGAGATTTCATACGTGCCCTTAGGTGTGACCGACAAACTGAGAAGCTGCTACGTGACAGTGGGCAACCTGAAACTACTTCCCCTGTAAACGTTATACATGGTGTGTCACTTTTGAAGGGTTTTCTTTAGCTTACACATTCTTTCATGTGTGTCCTCTCCAGGGCATCCCAGATTTGCTCCTCTGAATACAGGTTAAAAGGATCCAAGTTGGATCTGTTTGAAAAGAATACAAAACAAAATGCAGATGCATGAAGAAAACTGACAGATAAATACATTCATATGAAGCAGGATTAAGACAGTTTATACAAAATAGATTGTTTCAAAACAGCTTCCAATTACTAAAACAAGATTATTACAGTATAGTTTTTTTAATTCATCAATTATAAAACTAATCTGACTTCTGTAGACCTACTTTACAGCTAAAAATTAAAGTCATTATTCAGCTCAAGTCAGTTCAGTTCAATAACAGTGTCAGTGTTGCAAAGTTAGTGTCATGATCCAGCTTAATTCAGTTTAGATTTTGTTCTTAATGCATGTGAAGCGGCAAGCTATAACATTTCCCTCCCAGTGCACTGCGCACAGGTCAAGTATTGTAACGCGACGCTTACAGTGCAAGCAATTTCAGCTTCAACCCCATTTGCTGCTGACCTTCTGAAGTGCAGCTTATGGTTACACATTACATTTTGTTTTGTTTGTTTGTTTTCATTTGCTTTTCAAACTTGCAGTTTTGGTAAATCGTCCTTTTGGAACATTTTTCATGTGAAAGGTGACGCATGAAGCCCAAACATGATACAGATAAACCAAAAATTATTCAGACACCAGATATCATCTTTGATCTTTTTTATTAGTGGGTGCAGGACACTATAGTTCATGTAAGTGAGGATAGCTAAATAAAGTACACTGTGACACATTATACCCACAAATTCTTCATACAGTTGACTACCAGTAAAAATTTGTGACCAAAAATTCTTCAGACACTTGTTTTGCTTAAAGGAACACTCCACTATTTTTGAAAATAGGCTCATTTTCCAGCTCCCCTAGAGTTAAACAGTTGAGTTTTACCGTTTTAGAATCCATTCAGCCGATCTCCGGGTCTTTCTTCAATTGCTAATGCGAACGTTTTACATCACAGACTGAACAAAATTAAGCATTGCTTGGTAATTGGTATTATCTAATTGTGTACTCAAATTTAACAGCTATTCATCATCAAGACGAATTTGTTCGGATACAGTTTAACCAAGTTCATGACATTTTTTTTATTACCATTTTCTAAACTATAGCGAATAAACTGATGATGTGAGAAATGTTGAAGGTGTCTGAATAATTTTTGGTTTGACTGTATGTGCGAAATGGTCTTTGGGAATCAGTTGGGATACAGCATAAGTCAGAGTCCCGCCTACCTGACAGTACCACTGAAAAGCACTGGCTCCTGTGGAATGATTGACAGTTTGCTGCGCAAATCAGCAAGGCCAATGTCGCAAATGTTGACACCGTCAATCTTAATGGAGCCACCACACGGTTCTACCAGCCGGTAGAGAACCACTCCCAGAGAAGACTTCCCTGAGGACAGATAAGAGGGCAGATTTATGGTTTTTCTCTTTATTACACATTTATCTATTTTCACCATGAAAGTCATTTATAAAAACTCCTGATTCTAAAAGTTACCTCAAATTCGAATATCTGACTTACACAAGAATTTATTTTAAAAGTTAATGATGTCTTGATAAACGTTTATTATTACCATCTGTTAAATAGGCACTTTATAGTTTATTAGGTATTTAAAACCATAAAAAATATATTATATATGTGAATGACAGACCCTCTTTTATTTGTATTATTATTATTTTTATTAATTACATTTATTTATTTTTGGTTGTGTGCAGTCGAAACTTGTTCTGTGGGTAGGCATATGACGGTATCAAACTTTCATGGTGCGATTAATTGCTAATGATTTTATCACTGTATACGGTATTATCTCGATATTGAAATTTAGTTACAAAAAAAAAAAAAAAAGTGTTGTCAAAGTATAACAGGTTTAATAACTTGTTTCCTATAACAAAAAGAACTGAACATTTACATACAATAAACTAATACACAAGAAATTCACACAGATTAAAGTGCCAAAAAATTCTAAAGACCAACAAGTAACACTTTACAATAAGATCTCATTAGTTAACCTTAGTTAATGCATTAACATTAATAATGAGCAATAGCTACATTTGCTACAGAAGTTATTCCATTAGTTCATTAAATAACAGTTGCAACTTTTTTTTAACAATGTTATTAAATATTGAAATTACCTAAGATTAATAAATGTTTAGAAGAATTTTTCATTCACAGTTTGTTTACTAATGAATTAACTAATGTTAATTAATAGAGCCTTAATGTAAAGTGTGACCAAACAATAAAGAATTAAAACTTTTTCAAACAATATCTAGGGCATGTTGTAATCCGGATTAAAATGTAAAATTCTGAAAATAAACAGCCTATTAAGTCTAAATATTTAAGTATTTGGTGCGGTGATGAACACCACTGCGAATACGAAAATCTGAACGGCTATTTTGAAGCCATAACCCCCGTGAAGCCGTGGTTTACAGTGAATTTATAACAGCTAAGGGGCGTTGTTAGGCACGATGAAGCGGAGTGCCTAAAACCCCTTAGCTGTTATAAATTCACTGTAAACCACGGCTTCACGGGGGTTATGGCTTTTATAAAACGGTTATTCAATATACGTAGTTAGGTTTCACAAAATAAAACAGAGCAAATAAAGTATAATGATATTAATTAAAACAGTATTCTTCCACCAAACAACGTAGTTCCTCAGAATCAGTTGTGCTCGCAACAAAGTGGTTGACAAGCAACAGCCAAAGTAAACAAAGGTGTGTGTTTGTAGAGTAATTTACAACAGCTTCGAACGCGGCTCAGCCAATCAGAATCAAGGACCGAACTATCCGTTTAAAAAAAAAAAACATTTAAATAAGTTTTAGAAAGTAATGCAGCGGTTTTATTTATGGGGTTTCTGGGGTAACTGCTGCATTTCTGCTGTTCAGCGCCATCTGCTGTCAGAGAGTTATGTGCGCTTTCATCCAGAGCGTCTCTCACGCGCTCCGCAATGCGCTTCTCAGCCGTGCTGTGCATTGTGACCGGTTGATGGGAAAAATATTTTTAAAATGCATTACAAAAATCGGCATAATTTTTAATAAATAATTATTCACAATATTTTGAAGTGCCCACGATGACAATATCGTGCATATTAATTACTGTGATATACATAAGAGAGACATACTAAATGTGCAGGTCTAGGGTTCCTCCAGGACAGGTTTGAGAACCCTTGACTTAACCGAAAATACGAAGTGTGGAAATGTTGGACACTTCATGCATTCAACTGTCGAAGCTTTAATTACGTGACGAAGGGGTAGGGGCTATCAGACTCCGATTATTAATGACAAAATAACCTTATACAATTCATACACTACATGGTTGAGTACATAGTGCATAGTGTACAGTGCGTCATTTGGGATGCAGTTATTCACTTGCTTCATTCCTTTGAATGAATCGGATGAGCAGATGACTCAATGACTGACTCAGACTTGCTACAGGTGGTTTTAATTTCATATTTAAATAACCATTTCATTAAAAAAAAAACATATTTCAATATTCATAATATTATGCAATCGTAATTGCAGTGTAAATGCATCTAAATGCCACTTCAGACGCAGCTTCTGTGCCACTTCTGCCGTGCAAAAGTAGGTTTTGTTGATTTAATTTGACTGGTAACAACCTATAGTGTCTTATTATTGTAATTACATTTATTAATTAAATGTAAGACTTTGACACAAGATGATGCATACATCAAATAAGGTTAGAAAAAATTGCTTTATAAAATGCAAATATCGTCGAAAAGCTGTGTCAACTGTTCACAACTAGTCAAGATACCAGTACAAAAACAATCGCTACAAATGAGCAATCGTCTAATTACACCCCTCACACCCCTAGCTGATGATAATGCTACAATCGAACCCTCCATCAGGTCCCACCTTCATCCATGTCTTTGGAGAACCGGTTGAGGATGCGAGCCGTGGGCGTCGTGTCAAAAAATTTCATGGGACTACGAAGAATCTTCTGAAAAAGTTCTTCATGGAGCCTCGAGGAGGCACGCATAGTACCCTTGAAAAACAAAAGATCACCCGCTGAAACATGGAGCTCATTCTCTGACACAGCAAGTCACAAGCATCATGCAAAACTGCAATCGCTATAAAAGTAACTATATGATGTAAAATCTCACCTTAACAAACACAATGCCTCTCAGTAGTTTGAGAAGGAGCATGATTCCCATAGACATAGTGTAGACAGCAGCATAGTGTTGCATCAGAGGGTTATCACGCATACTCTCACTCAGTACTGAGCTGTTCCCCACCTGCACCGTCGTGTTCTGTTGAGCAAGACATCACAGACACATTGCATTATACAGTAAAACATGGTAATGAATGAACATTTGTGTGTATTTATATATATATATATATATATATATATATATATATACACACACACACACACATAAGGGCTGCCCTCGACTAAAGATTTGCCATGGCACACTGGCAGAAGTAATGATTAGGAACGTGTCAGGTAAAAACAGTAAGGAGGCTGCATTAACGTTTTAATAATTCATTGATAAACTAGTGCTTTTTTGTTTTCGGTTTAAGAGATGAAGTCGGCGACACTGCCTCGTCCTCTCCACAGTAGTGGATGCGCCTGTATGCATGTTTCACATGGATTATCTAATCTGAGAATATTGTTTTCCATTTGAATTGGTTTATTTGAAAGTAGACATTTCACTCTCTATAGTAGGGCTGCACGATATTGGAAAAAACTCTATTTACGATATTTTGTTTTTCTGCGATATATATTGCGATATGAAAATAAATAAATAAATCACCAGATGACTTGAATAGCTCTATTTGGAAAAAAATATATAAAAAAATCAATGACTGGGGTGATTTTGTAGGCGAGTAAATCAGCATAGGAAATAAACAAATTACAAGCATAGATAAATATAACAGAACAAAGATACAAATGAAATAAGCAGTGCTTTATTCAGTATTTAGGTACAGAAATTGAATAATCAAATGTAAAACAATACTGCATAGTCTTCACTATAAATTAAATCTAATAAATCGGTGTTAAAGCTACAAAATACATTTTTCTTTGCGTTTTGTTGTTTGATTAACATTCACGACACAGAAAGCAACACTTTCTCGACACTACACTCGAAATCAGGAATGCATTGTGGGTAAAAAGTAGTGAACGAATGTAGGGAATGAAGTCGTTCACTCAGAATTCGGACAGTACTACAAAATGGCTGACACCCGATATAGTGCACTATATAGTGGATAGGGAGCAGTTTTGGACACAGCTCTTCTTTCCAGAGCGCTCAAGAGCTTGCGCTTTCATGGCGTCTGCCGTTGCGAAGCACTCCACGACGACGTGGAAGTTTCAACAAAGTGAATTTTTCCGTGCCTGTAAGGCAAGTATACGGGGAGTTTCACGCTCAAGTTCCCAGAGACTGAGACGGCAGAAAGCGCATCCTGTTTGCTTGCATTATTTTACAAAAGCGCCATGTTTGTTGTTATTGTGAGTGCACACAAATAAACGTAGTCTTTACAGATTTGAAAGATGTATTACTCTTATCTGTATGAGCAAAAATGAAGGAGTATTTTAAGTGCAAGTGAGCGCACCGGCGCCTCCATCTGTCCTGCAGTGAGCGATAGCTACTGTTCAGCTTCCACACTCCTGAACAGTGCACATTTCTCTAGGTTAACATTAGATTGAGCGGCCATGTAAAGTTGCTGCTAACATATTTCAGATGATAAGCCATATATGAGGTCAATGAATGATATAGACGAGCGTTTGGATGTCCTGCCCGATGGACTACCACATAGACCAGCTGTAAACGATCTGCGTGTCTTGGCCAATGTGGATTTTTATTTATTTATTTTTTTCTGCTACTAAGCGACTAATAAAATTTTGGTCGACCAAACCTCTTCTGCATATATATATAATATATGCAGAAGAGAATATATATATATATATTAGGGATGCAACAATACAGTTAGCCATGGATGTCGTACTGAACAAATCAAATATTATATTGAGAATTGTCGTTGAAACGTACATTTTTTTTGGTTAAAGACTAAGGGAATTATTTAAAAAAAATAATGTGCACAGATAAATCATTTATTATAAATACTGCAAAATTACATAAAAAATAACTATACATTTTTA